AAAGTATATTTTTAATTCTCTTACTCTTTGTATAAATATTATTTAATTATTTCACTTTGTTGTGTATACTTTAAAAATTAAACAGAGTACAAAACAATCACATGTGAAACTGATCTCAAGATAGTCACCGTGATATCATTGGTCTGGAAAAGAGTGGATAGACACGCGCGTACTATTAATTATACATATTTATTTTAAAATCATCCGTCGGAATTCATCGTATTTTAAATTTCATGATGACTTCTGTATGAAGACAAACATAAATAAATACTGAGTGAATGCATAAAGTTAAGAACTTGACGATATAGTTGTAATACTATAAATATGCGACCATCGACTACATGTCCGTATTCATTTGTGGTCGACTGCCTTTTGCACAGCTCAGTGATCACTAGTAATTATTGTTGATCTGTAATCTGAATTTTATTATCACAAAATTTTTTATATACATACACACACATATATATAAATCATGAATCCATGAATTTTGTCGACGCTGTTGATCGTTTTTTCTGTAAAACTTACGTATGTGCATAGTATGTATGTATGTATGTTATAATAATAATATTTGTTTGGATACACACAGGAGCATAGATAGCTTGATCACGCAAGTATGATCTCTATAATATATTAATATATATATGTCGTAGGCCATATGGATAATTAGTTTTTTTGCGAAAAGACTAGGCTCTTGACAATGGGGTAGCCTGTTTGCAAACTATGTATTATTTTTCCAAACAACCTGCTGTTTTTCAGGCTCATTGCATACATACTAACGACAATTAAGCCTTTTAAGAATTACAATCATTTTATAGTAATAATAATTTGACTATTGCATTACTAGTTTTATTTTATATTACTAACTATATTATGTAACATGTAAACTGAACTATTATGTTATTGTATTATAAGTACATTAATTTTTTTTTCTACAATTTTGTTAATATTATATTTTGAATGTCTAATGGTCCACAATTTACCTTTGAAATATTGACTAAAATATAACTGCTAACTTCAGTTATAGCTAATTTCTTATCGCTATTTCTATATCATTTTTTTCTGCAGTCAATATTCCAAAAGTAGTTCGTGTACTATCAGACTATAGACAAAAATAAAATAATGTGCCTATAATACAATAATATAATAATTCAGTTAACATGTTACATACTCGTATATGGTTAGTAATATAAAATAAAACTAGTATGGTCAAATAATTATTACCATAAAATGATTATAATTCTTAAAAGACCTAACTGCTGTTAGTTTGTATGCAACGAGCCTGAAAAATAGCAAGCTGTTTTGAAAAATAATAAATAGTTCGCAAACAGGCACCCCATTGCAAAAAGTCTAGTCTTTTTGAAAAAAAAAACTAATTATCCGTATGGTCTACAACATATATATATATTATAATTAGATATGTCATATATTATGGAAGTCAAATGCTACTAATGAACGCTGCGTTCGAAAATTATTTTTAGACCATATTATATAAGTATAATATTACCGCTATTATACTGTTTTACAAAGAAATAAAATTTCTAGTCTTTAGACATCTGAGTATTTTGCTGAATTTTGGTGTGATTAAAAAGAACACATAAATAAATAGTTAAAACTAAAACTAAATAGTTCTTTTCACATGATTTTGAATCTTGTATTGTACTTACATTGATGTTGGTATATGATGCATTATTTTAAGATATGGACTTATAAATCATAATAATATGACGCGTTGATTTTGAACACTATTATTTAAATATATCAAATTCAGAGAATATTACTAATAATATAAATATTATATTATAACATGAATTAACCTTAAAAATAGATGTTGGACCATTAGTTTTCTTAGATTATAGAATTGTTTTATCGTGTGAATTAAAATTATGAGTATATTGTTATTGTATAATTAAATTATGAGCTAAAATTGAAATCCTACATAGCAGAAACGAGTTTCCAAGTTTTTAAATTTTACCAGACGGAAACAATTAACAGTATTTATATTTTTAACGGGCATTTTTTAATATTTTCTTATATAATGTAATCGCAATGAAACAGAAACTGTGCTTACCGTGTGAAACGTTAAATTTTTATTTCAATTTTAGACGATATTAATTACAATAGCAATTATATGACTGTGGGCAGAATAGTTCCATCGAAAGTGTTTAATTCAAATCAGGTATAATTTGTATGTACGGTATATAGTACACCGGCGTCACTAATTCAATTATTACAGACTTTTTGTTTCGTGTGCATGCAAATATTATAAAGTACATGGTGTATAACATTTTTATAGGTATAATGCGTATACGATATTATAATGTAAGCCTATGCGTTAGTTCCAATTTCTTGTGACCTTATTCCGACACCCTGAAGAATATAACTACACATAATTATCCAGTGTTTTGTGAAATGATATTGTTTGTTTTTGCACACAATTTAATTATAAAGGTGAACATCGCTACGGGGAATCATATTTTGCTTAATTAGGACTGGCGCATGCATTGTTGCCGGTAGCCGCACGCCCGGACACTGAACACAATGAACGACGAATATTTTTCTGGTACGCATAATTGAATATAATTTGCTTATGAAAACAAACCTATAGCTGCTGTTAGTATGTGAGCATAGACAGGTAACTAGGTAAAAATAATATCCGACGCGGATATTATAAACATGTGTAGATATATCGAAGGTATTTTCTAACTTGAGAAAACTTAACGACTTGGGAAGACTTTGAATAGGACGAACTGATTTTCTTAAAATAAAACGTAACCTCCGACATAATTCAATTTCATTGTGATAGTAATAATATGTTGCTATTACATAGAGTATTCGTGTAGATGGCTGAATATTGTCGAAAAATCAAATATGACAAAATTCTTTCGTGGCTTACACACGGTATTGTTAGAGTACGATAGATCATTAATTCAAATTTTCCTTTTTCTCGAACGTCGCCCAAATGTAAATGGCCGACTTATAATATTTATTAAAATATGCATCGTACAGTATATTATATACTATTTTAAACGACGTTGTAAGTATTGAAATATAACTGCAGCTTAAATAGTATGAGCAGGTATTGATAATAGTATTGCGATGTATTTAGTATGTACAATATTATTCAAATATGTGCAAAAAAATTTCAAGTTATCGTTCTTCTTTTTTTTTCTTTTAATCCTAATATCGTGAAAGTATACGAATGCATCAATTATATAGGGCTTAAAATTAATTTAATGAATTTACATTATGTAACGATACTCTAAACAATCTAATTTAATGTTTTGAGTTCATGTATAACAAAAATAAATGTATAAAAAATTATTTTGAGCAAATATATTAGTCAATATAATGTACAAAATAATAAGTGATAATGTTATACTTTTATTTATTCCATTTTGATGTACTAGATACATCATTATATAAACGCATAAATAAGTTTTTCAATATTCAAACACTATATTATGCATATCAATTCAAAATAATAAAACATAAACAAACGTAATTTGAAAATTATTTTTTATAATAAACGAAAAAATTGATTATTTAACCCAGAATCAGTAAAATACAGTTGTTATGTTATGTAAGAAATATATACTATAGTATAATAAATTAAAGTATTAATCTATAAATAGATTGAATTTAATACTTTTGTACTTGATGTTATGTTTAATATTAATGTTTATGTAAATATTAATTAAATATGAAATTTTGTATTGTATAGAACAATTTAGGTACTTCGACACCCCGAATTTGACTATCTATTTTGAATATAAGGTTTAAATTAATAAAAATAATATATGATTTTAATCTTAAAAATCAATGAAAATATTGAAAAAAATAAATGATAAATAATCATTGTATAGTATTATTTGAACATGAATAACAATTTATATACATGTAGAAAATAAGTACTGAGTAAACAGGAAAGTTTGTGATTTTGTTCTTTCACCGAGTAACTGTTAAGGTAAAGTCTCCTTAGACTTTAAAAAGAATAATACATAGTGTACCTATTTTAGGTACGTATGAGAATTAATTTTTTTTTACATGGAAGATACTTTCTCTTGCATTAAAGTCTCCAAGAAATGTTCCTTCATGTTGATCAAGTGCTCATCAAAGCACTAATTCACGCTAAAAGCTTTTAACATTAGTTTTAACAGTTAATGTATTTAGTTGGATAATAATATGTACTTTTCATAGAGTTCTTAACTACAGTTATGAGAGTAATTCAGAGAACGATGAAATTGCCATCCAACATATATTACGGTGCATTGCTACACATATAATATAATAATATATTAGTGTATTTTATCGTGAACATAAATGAAGATAATAATAATATAATATTTTCACCATCGTAAAATAATTGCTATCGTTGTCGTTATCTTTTTAGTTTCACGAACGTACACACATACGAGAAAATCGATTTAACAATAATCAGCGAAACGATATTCGAATATGATAATGACATCGTTTAGACACATACATATGTAACTCGATGCGAAAAATGAAAATAGAAATAGAGTGAAATGGAAAAATTTCATAGCAAACGCCCAAAAACCATTCACACGGTATTTTTGTGACTACTTAAGTGCGAAAATGGCCGGCGGCGAGTGCTCGTCATACATGGCCCCCTCGGGATTGCATACACACAAGACAAACAGACAATATATATATATAATATATATTATTTTCTCCTTCTCTCTCACACACGTGTACACACATACACACACATATATATCGGTCAAGCTCCATTTATCGTTTGACGATGACAATGGATGACGACGATGATGGGCGGCGCGAAAAATTATTATTATCGCGTCGTCGACGTCTTCTCTTGGTGGGACAACGTAGTGTAATTATGTTCAACGGGAAGTTATCCGGATGTGTTGTCTACGTGTGCGAGTGTTTGAGCGGTTGTGTAGGGCTATCGGCTGAAAATAGTCAGTGAAAATAAAATCTGGTGGGGCGAGTGGGGCGCCATATAAAAATCCTAAGGAACGTCTGTGCAGGGCAATTCATGGAAAAACCTCGTGCGCTCTGCTATACCATCGCAGCCGTGTAGTTTTACGATCATCGTCGTCGCCATAGTTTTCGTCCGTTGTGCCATAACCGATACTCGTCATATTGTCGTCATAAATTCGATTGATCAAACATAAAATTATCAGCAATGTCGAGATTTTTCGTAAAAGTCGTACTCGCGGTGGCGATCTCATCCTCGTTAGTAGCGGCTCAACAGCCTGAAGCTCGTAAAATCGATACTGGTCTCGGAGACTTTAAGGTGGTGTTCAAGGTGTTTCAAGACTGTTCAAAGGCACAGGTAAGTCGACAGTCCACTTCGGTGTCGGTAAATGACATTTAGTTTCGTTTCCACTAATGCCGCTGTAGTACAATAATAATACGAACGTAATCGTATTTGCTCGCAGTTCGGACCGTGTCTCAAACACAAGATATTGACAGCCCTCGACCGGATTAACGAACAACCAGAAATGGAATTGTTCGATGGCGTTCGATTGGTCAAAGATCCGGCTGTTGCTCTAAATGACGTTGCCGATGACATATCTTCAGCCAGGTCTGCTGGTGATGATGAGACTGCCAGTCTGGATACGCTGGTCATAAATAAAATTGTAAACTTTTTCAAAAGCCGCAGTCTTCAATTCAAACTTCTCGACAACGAATCTAGAGAAATGGCCGATGGTAAGCCTAGTAACTATTATTAAACGTAAACGTAGTCACTGATATTCCACCTATATTTCTATCGGATTTTATAAATTATAGATGAAGGATATAAAATTATTATTATAATAACGTTTTATACGAATAAATTTCGTAGGTTTTTTTTTTTGTGGCTTAATTTGATGCGTGATATTTATACCTGAGTATAGTATGGTAATATTATCAGTGAAAACTATTCGCGTTCATAAACGATAATATATTACTATGTAAATTTTATTCTGATCTTGATTTACCAAATATGACATTTTCATTGTTTAAGGAATCTGCATCAAAAATGTATCGACAATATTTTATAATAATTAATAATGCTTCGATAGTTTTATACACTAAAATCTTACTGTAATTAAAAAATTTTATCAAGTAAAATATTTAGTTAAATATTTTAACTAACATTTTTTTTTTAAACAAAACACGATTTAAATTAAAATTCATCTAAACCACTAGACATGTATTTAGTTTATTTTAATCAGTTTTATAGAATAAATTGTTTTTTATCATAGCATTTTTTTTTTAGAAGTATGTTTGTATAATATTATATAAACATAAGTTAAAATGTTTGAAAACTATTATCCCCTAATAGTATAACTAAATACGAATAAAAAACTTGATATTTTTTACAATTTTAAATAAATATAAATAATAAAAATGGCAATTTAAAAAATAAATAAATATTCTTTTAAATCCATCTCACGTAAAATACGCATTGATGTAATATCCAATTATACATAAAATATAAATTAATTTTTAACTAAAATCATACTGATTTAATATTTAATATTTCTATGTCTAATCAAAAGTAATCAATAGAAAAAAAGTAAAAATAATTAAGATCCGTTTAAAAATTAAATTCATTATATTATTATAGTTACAGACTTACAATCAATGTATAGTATGTTAATTTTAGATCTGAATCTGCAATAAACATGAATTTATTATAGTTTTGAAAAATCAGTATAAATCATAATTAGTGATAAACCATGCAAATCCCTTTCAAGTCTATAGTAAATAATTTACAAGGAATTAGAGTAGTATTGAGCAAGTTGTGAGTCTCGGGGCCACTAGTATATAATATATGTACATTTTTAAACTTACTAAAAAATTTTAGATAAATTGATTTCTAGAGTGTTGATAATATTATATTGTTTTATTATTTAATGAAAAAATAAAAGTAAATATCATATTTTAATGTAAAGTTTTAAGACTCCAAACACATGGTGGTCGTATAACATACGCCTGTAGAATCTAAATTTATTAAAAGTCGATCAAAAGTCTAAAAACGATAAAAACCGAACACGAAATTGATCGCCAAGTATATATAGTATTATATAGTGAATCGCTTTTGCTACAGCTGAAAAATGTGATCTCAGTTGACGTGTGTCAACGAAATGTTTTCCAACATATTATCATATTATTATCATTATATCTTTTACGTTAATTTTTTTTCCAACGAAATTTTTGATGAAAGTCTAAAAACGTTATCTTTTTTAAAAACTTTTTATCATCAACCAAACGATCAGACGCAATTTATATGATTGATTTTTTATTCAAGTACGGCAGTCGTATTTATTTTTCACTTTTTTACCGTCAGTACAAAATTCCCAAGCAACATTACTTAGAGTGTATATAAAATAATATTATTATCATCTGCCGCTGCATACCATGTAACGATCAATCGATATATTATTATTATTATCAATGCACCTAGTTCATTATTGTGCGTGCTCATATCGGTCCGTATATTTCCTTTACTTTATAATCGACTAGGTGACATCAATATTGTGATAACAATAGTAACAATTTAGTATTTTACTATAATACCTTTATATTATCATATTATTGTTATGGTATACAACACATATTATACGAATCAATGAAACTATATTATATTAAATTCTCCGCACGAGCATGCTTGGTGATTGCAGGTTGGCTGTAATTTTGATCAAATTTTCCACCCACTGTTTTTTACGTCGACGTTTAAAACTCATCGACTTCGCGAAAACTCTTAATTGTGCAGAATGTGATATTCATTATATTCATTAATTTAGGGTTGAAAATTGAATCATGCTTGATATTGTACTGTTGATTTTTCGTTCAAAGTTTTTTATTTTAAGGATCTCGTCCTATTCTTTGATTTTCATGACATTTCGATTTATTCTCGTAATTTTAGACCTAAGTTATTTCATTAGTGTTTTGTTATACAGTTTAAACGAGCGTATAAATATCATATCGGTGAGTAATTGAAAGTATGAATGATACTATGAAACATAGTATGACATATAATTTGATTTTCCCAAAGGCCATCGTCTACTAGTTCGTAGCGACGTCTATGAAAAACATATCGAAGCCCGATAATACGTATATTTTGTAGTATCTTACCTATAATAAAATCAGTAAATATCATATGCGTTAATAAGTATCTATTTTAAAAATAAAATCGACTTCACTATTTTAACTAATGTTAAACGGAATGATGACCTACCTCGCTCCCGAAATTAATTTACGCACGTCTGAACAAATATTGATAAGGATACGTCTCCACGACATAGTTTCCACATCGGTCGAATCTAACATTAATGAATTATTATTATTATTATTATTATTATATTACAACGTACCTGTGGCGTACACACATGTGAATCTATTCACACCGCAGCAGTATGCGATGACAGCGGAAACCGGGTCACAGATCGAATCGTGGATGGAGTCGCGATCGTCAAAAACGTCGTTTTAAAACAATAATTAATTTATTTATACGATGATATGTGATCTGACGATATGATTTTTTGACGGACAATCACCGAGCGCAGCCACCCATATAAATGATTATAATAATAAAACGATACGCCTACGCATCTCGACGGCCTGTGTAGCACACCACAGGCTCCTCCGATATAACAATGTCATTAAAATTTATCATTATCGACGTTCTCATTAGCTGTCGTCCACACACCCTCTGACAAGAGGTGTTACGCGTTTTCGTCTCGACCTGTATTTTTAAAAGTTGCCACCGCGTCGTCGTATCTATCGTCTATTCCTTTACTCAGTCACGTCAATCATTATCTATCTACCGATTGTCTGTATAGTATGGTTGAGCCCCGTATATTGTACAGATATCGGTCTTTCTCTTTCAATATTGTGTACTGCAGCGGTTCCCAGACTAAGGCGAGGCTTCATTGAGAGGAACAAACATTTAATAAGGGAAACCCGATATAAACATGAATATACGTATTGTACATTGTAGTACTTATATATTTATAAAATGTTTTGTTTCATTTATTCAAGGGAGGTGTGATTGATTTATTTTATTTTTGGAAACGCGTGAACCAAAAGTTTGGGAACCACTGGACTATACTGTATTGTTCATCGCTCATTTGCACACAGTTACGCCGAAAACCTTTTAACCTTATTCTTAATCATAATTTTACAATGTCCTCATACCTTTTAATAGTTCCTATTTTTCAAACTTTGAAAGTTGTTGTGATAATTGACGGCAAAGATATAAACATAATGTTATATAGACGCTCTAATATATTTTATGTGCATATAGTCCATAATAAACACATATTTCCTAACGTGTTTCGATTGACGATGAATGACGCGTATTCGCCATCAATTGTATCGTAACTAGACTCAAGGGATAACACATTTCGAATAAAATGTCGCTATAAATAGATAATATAGAACTTATACAATTTTTATTCTTCACATTATCAATATAATAAATTATTAAAATATAAGCTGAGTATTCACTACATCGCCTTTGCACTACATTTTCACAGTACGTTTTTCAACGGGACAAAACTGTATCATACAAATATTTGGTAGATTTGTTTCTCTAAACAAAAATCGTGCAATAACCTTGACATACAGCTAACCCTGCAAATAATATATATATGATGTAATTATTTTTAATGATTTTTTTTTAACTTTTTATTTTATTCTCCGTGATTAATTAAGGTCGCAAAAAGAGCAACAAATACAACTCGCTGCTTATGTACCCGTTTATGATGGGTGGCATGACCATACCGCTGGCTTTCGGCGTGCTCGCCTTGTTGGCCGGCAAGGCACTGATCATTGCCAAACTGGCGCTGGCCCTCTCCGCCATCGTGGGTTTGAAAAAATTGTTCAGTGATCAAGGGGGCAGCAGCCACGAGTACATCACCCACGGAGGCAGCGGTGGACATTACCGCCGAAGCCTTCCCGGCGAATCGATTTCCGCATCAAACATGGCGTACAGCTCATACATGCCAGTGTATGAGGAATCCATCCGGAGTACCACGTCCAACGCGATTCCTCTGTGATGAGTGACAATATAACGTTATTCGACTACATCATCCAATGTCTACTTCATATTCTATGTAGAAGACATTGGTTATTATTTATTGACGGATGGTATAACATTTATATTATTAACTAGCATTATAATTATTATTATTATTATTATTATTATTATTATTATTGTATTATTTATTTCTAATCGAATAAATTCGATTAGCCTTTATAACTTAAAATCTGTATTGTACTATATAATATACATGATATTATATTATATTTATTACAACCCTATCGATGTGTTCGATGACGACAACAATATAATATTTTAATATATTACATTTTATTATGTATTCCCCTGTAAAAATTATTGTTGTAGATTTCATTTTTCAGCATACCTCTCCGCTTTTACGACCACATAAATTATGTTTTGAAATCATTATCCATTTAAAAACGGTGTGCATTTGTATAAAAATCGTGTGGTTCTTTACGAAATACATCCGTAATAAGAACCTATATTTTACACTGCATAAAAAAATCCGTAACAATAACTATAGTGGATATATTCGTATTGGTATTATACAATATTTACTTTACAGATGATAGGTTGTTAAATCTAAACGTTTAATACGACCGCGATATGGATGAACGTGTTTGTAAATTTATATTGTACCGCAGAGCTAGATATAATTATATAATAACGTCCAAATATTCGGATTAAATTTCTCTCAAATTTTACGAATAGGTACGTAATATGTTTTTGCATTTTCCGTTTAAACGGCAATGTAGCGATAATGAAAATATCCATTGCTTTAGACGTCTCGTTTTCTGATAATATATGTATGTCGGGTCTGGCGTGCGTGTGTACTATTATAACGACGACGACACAATCATCGTTTTCGTTTTCAGATGTGAAAATCGCGGGCGTGCGGTGGTCACGGTATCATAATATAATACGTAAATATATTATACACAGACTTGTCTAGCCGACGAGCCTACACGTCCGAGTTGGATGTAAAACGAAATATTATTCTAAATTATTATTATTTTTTTTTTTATTCGTTTTCAACATTAATCCATTGAATATATATATATGTGTGTGTATGTGTGTATGTGTGTGTGTGTGGCCATTGGATAGACGGTTCTCCAATAACTCATTGTAATACGACAATATATTTTCTATTTTATACCTACTATATTATTATTATTGTTTCGTACTGAACTCGATAATGTGTTTTGTAGGTACCTATACTCTCGTGCATTACACAGCAGCATTCAATACACATACACGCATATATATTTATAACAATTTACACGTTGTACCTATATTTAATCCGTGGAGATTTATTGTGCTTATAGACAATAATAATAAAAATATCATGATGTCCTTTACTGGAACGGAAATTAGAAATCCGTTCAAATGGACAAACCAGTATATAGCAGCATCGTATATCGTATAAATATATCTAATCGGTTCCTGATGACTTGCGTCCGTACGTGTGTATTTAGTTTGGTCACGAAAATGACGTTAGCGAGCCATGACCATGGCGATATTATTAACTACTACACATATTTCAGACATACATTTAGAATTAATATATTCAAAATATGTATACTCAAATTTGTAGCATGTCTTTAAAATAATCCACCATTTATAATGAAAAATCGTAAAAAATGTTATAATTGAGTTCAATATAGATATGAAGTTCTGGTAAGTATAATAGATATGAGTGTTTGTTTTATTATTTTTTCCGCCGCAGTTCATAAGAATTTCTTTTTGAAATCTTTCTTTAATAACCATAAAATTATAAAAATAAGGATCCGAAAATTGCATTAGAACATATCATTGCAATTACATATTGAGCTCATGTCGTGGACGTCGCACGAGATCCGTAAGCGAAACTCTATAATTCTCTACTTATCATCCCATGGAACCTGCACGTTCAAATCAGCAAAAAATATAATACAGCGTGATCGATTTTTTGTTTCACATAACTATTATTTAGATCTCTATTCTAAACCGTTAAAAGTAAATGTATATATTGGTCAGTCACAATTAACTCTAAGCTCTCACATATCCAGTGTTCATGAAAATACAAATTTAATTGTTATTCCATTCTTATAAAATATGATAACACTTAATTACATGAATGAAAATAAACTATATGAGTTCGATAAATGTTAAAAAAAAAAAAAAGGTTTTTATAAAAATTATTAGAGTTCATAAAAACTAAAAGAAACTAACATATAAAATTAGTAATAAATAATAAAATCATCAATAAAATAAATATAAAAATAATTTAACATTATCTTTAAAAATTTAAAAATTTCTTATTTTATTTTTGAATATTATATCATAAAATTATTTAATTTTAGATAAAAATGGTATTATTATATAACGTTTGTCGTTTACATAATTTATCAGGTATTCAATGAATTTGAAAACTCTTAATTATTACTGTATCCATGTGTTAACACCTACACGAAGCAAAAAAAAAAAAAAAATAGATAACACTGCTGAACATTTAGAATTTAGAATATTTAATAACTTCAATAATTATATAACATTATCGTTTATCAGTCAAAAATAGTTTAATTACCCGAATGACCGTTTCCAAACTAATTGAATACCTTAAATGTAAATTAAAATGCAAATGATGTATTATTTTATAATAAAATGTTTATGATAGTAATATTAACAGATAATTAATTTTAAAAATTATAAATTATATTGTTCACTAAAGAGATAAATAACAAAATAGATTTATATTTACTATATGAATTTTTAAAAAAAAGACTACACTGTGTATAAATAAGAACAGAAGATAGTGTAAATTAATTAAAGAACGATTTCTTCATTAAAAGATGTTATGGGATGTTAAAATAATAATGAAAAATAAATGTATTATACATCTATATAAACTGTTTAAAATAACATAATACATTAATATGACGTGTTAATTCAATGTTGTTAAGCTAATTAAAAATCACATTTTTTGAGTTAATTGTAAGAAAGAAAAAGCAAAATATTATTTTTATTTATTTAATTTGTTTTTATAACAGAACGGGCTGTTGGCCAAAGTACAGTTATACATAGATTAGAACAATAAAGAACATAGATACATAATTTACAAAAATTATTATGTAAGTATACAATTTAAAAATGTTGTCAAAGCGTAGTATAAAAATAACTTATTAAATTAATAGATTGTAATATTTTATGAAGCAAATCGCTATATAATATTCACCATAATGCTTTGGCTATATCTATACAAGCATTAAAGTCACTGAAAACAATTAATTAAATGTAATAATATAGATATGTACTTATACTTCCTAGCCAAAACACTACTAATATACAATATTACAAAAGTTATATTATTAATTTTCATCATTATAATATTTAACGATAGCATCAAACAAAACGTCGATGTATTTAAAATCAATTTTATTCGAATCATTTAGCTTACAGAATTAAAAAAAATATAATTTAACTATATATAAAATGATTCGTAAACTTTCAGGACTATTCTAATAATAATTGTAGAGTATATAAATTTATAAACATTTTTTATAATATTTATTACTTCATTACACATTGATGTACAATATGAAGTATTTTTTGAAACTATCGGGCACTTGCAAAGCTAATACATTTATTATAATAATAACTATGAGGAGCTACCTATGACATGATAATTTTTTCAATAGTATCATTTATCAATATATGAAAATGAGAGTGGAAATTTTTAAATTTTTAGCTTATTAAGTTTTAATTATTTATTTTAATCAAGTATAATAATTACAGTTGAATACTATAATGCATTATACCTATAACATTTATTTTTTTTTAAATAAAATTTAACTATTTTTAATGATGTAAAAATCTATAAACTAATTATAATTTGAATTTTTATTGATTATCATTACAACAATTTTTCTTTCCCTCTATTATCATAATCACATACCATCATAAAATGTAAGTAGGTACGTCATTAATAAAAATGAACTGTTTAAATTATACACTAATTTATTTATGTTATGTTTCCGTTATTAATACTAATACTGCAATATTTTCTCTCTTGCGTAATATTATACCTTCACTTATTATAGTTTTTCATTACAGTTATACTTGTTAATAAAGATACAAGTTACATTTTCGCTAACAATGTATTTATTGAACTCATTAAAAACAATAATCGAAACATACATTAATGCGGTTAACGTCTACATGTCTACAAAATTATAACTTACAAGCTATATTTAAAAAAAATAAACATTTATCGATGATTGATGATACCTAGTCAATGACGCGTCACAAGTTGTTGACTAGGTAATGAATGAAGCATACTATCAGCGTGGGCAAAGAGCCAATGAAATAAATTAATGGTTTTAATTTAAGTGAGACACTGAGCACGACCGTAACTGATTTTTTTTTATTATTTAAAATATATTTCATCTGATACGGATCTCAGCATGTTCCTGATTTCTAAACAACAACGACGTGTATGGCCACGAGTTTGGTAAGGCACATTATAATGACATACCACACCCCAAATTATTGTTTTTAAATATTGATGAATAATGTACATATTTTGTTGAATTCTTTAAGCAGATTTTTATTTTAAAGTCCTAAAACTTACTATTTTAATATTTTATGTATGTAAGACTTTTAGATTCTGAGCAGAGCAATGAATATATTGATTTTACAATCATATGTTTTTTTTTTTCAAAAATAAGGTTGGATTTGAATATCATATCAAATCTAGCTAATACTTTAAAGAGGTCAAACTTAAAAATATCTGATTATTATTTTTGTCACCGGGAATAACAAGCAAACAATTTGAGGAAAAACTAACGTAAATTTAATTTTCGACAAAATCAATTTTATTTTTTTTTGATTTTACTTAAAATTTTCTCAAAACATTTATATTATTATTTTATTTCTATGGTACAATTTTAAAAATATTTCGTATTTCGATCATTTTTCATCTATTTATAGATATAATAAATTTTCAATTTGTTGTTATAAATGTCAATTGAAAATTATTTTCATAGTAGAATTACATAAACATTTAATGCAAAGCTTCTAATAAGTTATTACTTATTAATTTATTAATTAAAAGTTACCAAAAATATCAAGTCAAAATATTTTTTTATAGGCGTTTAACGTTAGAATTTTGACAAAATTCGTGTAAATTATAAAAAAAGACCAATTATTTTGTATTTTGAAAGTCAAAAAACCTTTTTCTTTCATCTAAGTTTTGAAA